GATTTCCAGAAAGCCTTTGACAAGGTCCCTCACCAAAGGCTCTTACGTAAATTAAGTTGTCATGGGATAAGCGGGAAGATCCTTTCACGGACTGAGAACTGGTTTAAAGACAGGAAACATATTCATAAATGATCTGGAGAAAGGGGTAAACAGTGTGGTGTCAAAGTTTGCAGATGATACTAAACTGCTCAAGGTAGTTAAGACCAAAGCAGAATGTGAAGAACTTATAAAAGATCTCACCAAACTAAGTCACTGGGCAACAAAATGGCAAATGAAATGTAATGTGGATAAATGTAAAGTAATGCACACTGGAAAAAATAACCCCAACTATACATATAATATGATGGAGGCTAATTTAGCTACAACTAATCAGGAAAGAGATCTTGGAGTCATCACAGATAGTTCTCTGAAGACATCCATGCAGTGTGCAGCGGCAGTCAAAAAAGCAAACAGGATGTTAGGAATCATTAAAAAAGGGATAGAGAATAAGACAGAGAATATCTTATTGCCCTTAAATAAATCCATGAATACTGCGTACAGATGTGGTCTCTTCATCTCAAAAAAGATATACTGGCATTAGAAAAGGTTTAGAGAAGGGCAACTAAAATGATTAGGGGTTTGGAATGGGTCCCAAATAAGGAGAGATTAAAGAGACTGGGACTTTTCAGCTTGGAAAAGAAGAGACTACGGGGGGGATATGGTAGAGGTATATAAAATCATGATTGGCGTGGAGAAAGTGAATAAGGAAAAGTTATTTACTTGTTCCCATAATATAAGAACTAGGGGCCACCAAATGAAACTAATGGGCAGCAGGTTTAAAACAAATAAAAGGAAGTTCTTCTTCACACAGCACATAGTCAATCTGTGGAACTATTTACCTGAGGAGGTTGTGAAGGCTAGGACTATAACAGAGTTTAAAAGAGAACAAGATAAATTCATGGAGGTTAAGTCCATAAATGGCTATTATCCACTATGTGTAAGGAACGGTGTCCCTAGCCTCTGTTTGTCAGAGGGTGGAGCTGGATGGCAGGAGAGAGATCGCTTGATCATTACCTGTTCGATTCACTCCCTCTGGGACACTGGCTTTGGCGACTGTCGGCAGACAGGGAAGTGGGCTGAATGGACCTTTGGTCTGACCCAGTATGGCCATTCTTATGTTCTAACTAAGGATAGAGAAATTAACATTCCAGATTAAAAACCTACATATTTTAAGTGTTGCTTTGCCATAAAACTTTACTAAAACGTGTCTACAAAATAAATTAATGCTAACTTACTATGACAAAGCTCCTCTTAAACCTGGGTAAGTCCCGCACTTTGAGGCAAATTACTTACCTCTGAGGCTTAGAGCAGCCCTCAGTTTAGACACCAGCTTGCTGATTGTTGAACTACTCTCATCCTTGGCCAGCATGGGGAAAAGAGGGAAAACAAAACTTCATAGTCTCTGTGGCCGCTCCTAGTAGTACAGAGAAGAACAAACCCCTGTACCAAAGCCAGTCTTTTTCCCCAAGCTGAAATGGGGAGTTGGTGGGGGTGGGAGTCCAGATTCCAGCCTAGTGACCCTGTGATAGAAGCTGTCTATTATATCTCAGGTATCGGCTGCAAATCCTTGGGGCACTTCCCCATGGCCTTCCCCAGCACCTTCCTTATTGCAGGTTCGTACTCCAACTATCCACTTGTATTTTCTCGTCACAGACTGTTCACAACACTGTCTCTCATCAGCTTCTTCCTAGCACTGAGCTAACAGAAGTGAAGCTTTTTTCCAGTTGGCCTGATTGTTCTGATTGATTCTACCAAGTTCCTACTGGTCTGAATCAGCTCTTGTTAATCTACCCTGAAAACAGAGACCTATTTTATCTAGGGCTAATATATTTCCCTTCTATCAATCTCTTTTAGCCCTCCAGCCTGTCTCTATCACATTACCTTCTAGTAACAATGATTCTGAAATATTCTTGCCTTGTTATAATACTTCTTAGTTACTTTGAAGAATGGCTTCAGAACATAATGTATTTGAGAGTTTTCTGTTTGCTACATTTTAATATATACAGAAAATATTAAAAAGGAATGATGTCACAAACATAAAAGTGTTAAATTTCCCTTCCTTAAAATTAGAGGACGATCTTTATTTTTATATTTTTTTCACTCATGCAATTTTGTTTAATCTTCTAAAATTATATACTTCTACATCATGCAAGTACAACTGGCAGTTGTCCAAATTTCCAGAATACTACCTCTTCAGCAGTATTGCAGCTACTTCAGTTAAGATTGCAGTATATTAGAGATTTCTCATAAACAAGATACATTAGAACATGACCTTATGCAAGCTGTGTATGTTTATGTACAAAGATTTACAGATTTCCAATGGTGAAATGCCAATGAGAATCTTTTCCCTAATCTTAGTAGCAAAAGTGGGTTAAATCAGTGCACATTAGTACGTTCATTCTATTACATTTATGAGTTTCTTTAAGTTACCTTGGAAGTGAAATCTCATTATCCACAGCATGTTGTATTGACACTACCTATATAGAGATTTTAAGCAAAGTATGTTTTATGTCATCTTTGTAATAGCCCATGAAACTATTTACGGAATGACTGAAAACTGATTTGTTTCCCTATAAAGCTTTGTTCTACATTATTGTTTTCACATCAGGCCTTGAATGATTAAAATTAAAATGGATGTGGAAAAATATGAATTGAAACAGGCCACCCTGTGCTTTAACTTATGGTTATAATGGATAACAATGAATCATGTAGCACCTTAAAAATGAACCAATTTATTTGGACATAAGCTTTCATTGGCATCTGACAAAATGGGGTTTTGCCCACAAAAGCTTATGTCCAAATCTGTTAGTCTTCAAAGTACCACAGGACTCCTTATTGGTGTTGTGGATATAGACTAACAAGGCTACCCCTCTGATAGCAATAATAGCTGATAATGTCTGCTGATGATTAATATTATTTCTTTCCAGTGGCACCCAAACTGTGTTATCTGCCTTCCAAACCCAGGTGGCACAATCCCTCTCTTAGGGTATGTCTACACTACCCTGCTAGTTCGAACTAGCGGGGTAATGTATGCATACCGCACTTGCTAATGAAGCCCGGGATTTGAATTTCCCGGGCTTCATTAGCATAAAGCCGGTGCCGCCATTTTTAAAAGCTGGCTAGTGCGAACCCCATGCCGTGCGCTACACGCGGCACAGGCTAGATAGTTCGGACTAGCTAGCTATTCCGAACTATCTGTACACCTCATTCCACGAGGCGTACAGATAGTGCGGAATAGCTAGCTAGTCCGAACTATCTAGCCCGTGCCGCGTGTAGCGCACGGCATGGGGTTCGCACTAGCCAGCTTTTAAAAATGGCGGCGCCGGCTTTATGCTAATGAAGCCCGGGAAATTCAAATCCCGGGGTTCATTAGCAAGTGCGGGATGCATACATTACCCCGCTAGTTCGAACTAGCGGGGTAGTGTAGACGTACCCTCAAAGTCTTATTAAATTAACCTTATTTTTATTCAAATGAAAGGATTTTAGGGGTGGATGCATTGTTAATTAAATGTTTTGACATTTGATTAACATTAAGGATGCATCTACACAGCACCCTAAACTTGAAATAAGATACGCAATTTGCACAATGCAAATTGCGTATCTTATTTCAATTGTAATTGAAATAGTTTATTTGGAAATTTAGCATGTCTACAAGCACCAAATTTCAAAACAACATGCTATTTTGAGACATTCCTTAACCCACATGGAAAAGACCACATGGAAAAGGATGCCGGAATAGTGCACCTGTTACTTCTAAAAATATTTTGAAATAACTAATGCATTTAATGGATGCGGGGTAGGTATTTTGGAATACTTCCAGTATCCCAAAATAGCCCCACTATCTAGACATACCCAAAGTGCACAGCAGCTGAAGGAAAGCCAGCGAGAGCACTCTGAAATGTGCATGACATGGTCCCTGAGCAGTTCACCCAGGTATCTTCACCCACATGTGAGTATCTCCACACCAAAGCCCAGCTATCTAACTACATCCTCACTGTTTCTGAACTCACTTATGGGTGAATTGGAGATAGATCCCATTTTTCTGTGTGCTGAGATGCTCTAGGAATCTCTCCCAGTCAGCTATGTCAATTGAAGGAGAACTTGTCCGTCCTTCATGGGGAAGGCCAACTTTTGAAATAGTTATTATTAATGATTTTGCTGAAATCCTCATGCAAAGTATGTGGGTAAAACCCAAGTAAAATCATGGATTAACTGAGTAGTATAGACAAAATTTACATTGCTAGGTCCAAGCAGATCATACAGATGGCCAGGAAAATGTAAAAACTCCATTGGCTAAATTGTGTATAAGAGATGGATTTTCAACTTCACTTATTTTTATACTCTGTACAGCTGAAAAGGGCAATGAAGAGTAAGGGAAAGTTGGCTCTAAAGTAGGTAGGTTCATTCTCCTATCCTGGGCAGGTTGGAACTGATATAGCCCTTAGCACTAAAGCAATGTGAAGTTCTATATCCTACTCTGACATGTCCACTTCAGACAAGGTGGGGAGAAGGGCTTGTGTAGAGTAGGCATAACCAGGCACAAATTCTCCTGTCCAAAGAATCCTCCACTTCCCCCTGCTGGACTGTTTTCCACTTGCGTGGGTTGATGAGGCAAATTGTATGTTAATTATTCAGGCAGCTATATATGGTGCATTCACTTAAATTCATAGATCTGTTTATTTATATTACTAAACTATATTTAAGGTTTATGATCAAGATAGAGCATGAGTCAATGAATACCTTATTTATTTCAGTACCATAGCTATCCTGGGCTCATTTTTGCTCTGTCATACTTTATGTTGGGATCTATACCTGGGCAGCTTCTAAAATTGGTGTATGCAGATATGCTAACCAAGGTGCAGTGCACAAAGTTAAATGTAATTATCTAACATTTATAGAAATCAATTACTGGAGACCAGCAGTAAATAAGTCTTTACTGAATAACTGTAAGGAGGATCAGCAGTGTTACAAAGCCAAGTCTGTATCTATAAACAGACAAGGAAACTAATAGGAAAAGAGAGAGAGCGATTTTCATTTGCAGTGTAAGTAATTCTGCACCGCCTTTGCCATGGCCACTAGAATACAAGGATTTGGGCTCAGTCCAAAATGCTTTCAACTTTCCTTCTCCAGCTAAGTATGATAAAGTGCAAAGACCAACTAACCCATCAAAAGGATCTTATTTCAACCTTTGACCTCAAACTCAACTCTGATTGTCCAACTATAGTAACAAAAAATTGTTTATAAAATAAATTTTGCTGAAGAAGTTCAGAAATGTCTTATTAATTCAAGCACAAAAACATTTACAGTATGTTAACAGTGCCTTAGAGGATCAGTAGAGTTAAGATAGCTAAATGTTTCTGTTATAAATCTTGTTATTTTTATAACATTGGTTACATGCGGAACAAAAGTACATTGGACCAGATTCTTGTTTACACTAGTACTAATTAAGAACTGTACCACTGAAATGGTGTTGAACTCAAGTAGCAGTCTGATTCAAAATCCATTGAAGTCAGTGGTAGTCTTTGCTTTGATTTCAGTGGGCTTTGGAGCAGGACTTAAATGAGAGGTGAATCTTCTCGCTCATTCATCTACTATTCTCTCTCTCTAAATTTAGTGTAAGCTGTTGCCCAGAGATTATGTAATAGCAACACAAACTGGGCAATATTCCAAGTCTAATGTCATCACATCAGACATCCTGCCTGCCACAGGTGGGAGCCTGTTAAGCCAGCTGGCCTTGCCATTCCTTTTCAAGTGTATCCTGTTGGACATAGAGGATGGCATTAGCCACTATTTTCAGAGCCTCTTCTCATGAGTTCACCTTCTGTTCCCAACCAAGGATATTTTTGGAATTTGGAGCACAGGCTTATGGGCATTGGTTTCTGTTCAAGGAACAAAGGCGGCCAGTTTAGGTTCCACTAATGCAGGTAGCAGAGAAGAGCACAGGATTTTCCTGTCCTCCTTAAAGTAATTCTTGTCAAGAAATGAGGTTGGAAGAGGGCCTTATAACTTTGGCCAAATATGTGGCTCCCAGTATTGCCAACTGCAAGTGTTCAGTAGTGTAAGTCAGGCCCCAAGAATTATGAGATTTTTGAAAAATAATTCACTATGAATTTGGGGAGGAGAGGGAAGGGCGTTGCCTTCTGATTTTTGAGCCACTGAGATCTCATTTTCAAGTTTTTCTGTGTAACCATGAGGGCTATAATCTTTCTCTTTAAAAAAAATGCTGAGCGTTGTATGCAATCACATGATTCTTGGAGATGGGGAAATCTAAGAAAAAGAGCAAAATAAATAAGTGTCTCAGTATTATCATGAGTATTGGTAACATCAATCTTATAATCTGGACAGTTATCCCGAAAGACATTATCCTACAGCAGGAAAAATCTCATCATGACAATATCACAAAAGACAATATCAAGTCCTACATAAAAAAATATTTTACTGTCCCCTGCTAAGTTAATATATTTAAAATGTAAATAATTTTTCTACCAGATATGTGATAAAGAAGAAGAACAACCACCACCAGCAGTAGCACCCTCACCACCTCCCAGTGGCTTTTGAGACTGACAACTTGACCAGATACTAGAGGTGAAGTAAATTCCTCTGTCTTGTGGCTCAAACTTGATGAGGGTGCAGCCTATAGATAGGTCACTCGCAGGATGCTGGAATGGGGAGCTTGTTATGAGCAATGCCCATTGAATTAATAGTAGAAGAGTAAAGAGCATTCAAAGAATGATTTGCCTGTTCCTAGTTTGGATATGTTTATAGTAGGAGGAATTTTCCTAACATGGATGTTCAGTTCAGCAAGGTCCATCGCTTCATTTCATTTGAGGAAACTCTTTGAGCAAACAGAGGCTTTTTGCAGTCTATAGTGTTCCAAGTGCACTGTTGTGATCTCAGTCTCTTTCAAAGTAGTGCTATGGCTGTGGTGAATCCTGGTGTAGAAGCTTGAAGGCTTTAAAGCTTGACAGGTAAGACAAGAACCACCACAAAACAGTGCTCCTGATACCCAACTCCTCCAGGATCTCCAGCAGGTCACCATGGTTGATGGTATCGAAAGCTGCCAAGAGGTCCAGGAGAATCAACAGGAACACACACACCTTGTGTATCTCTCAGTGTAGGTCACTATGAGGATGACCACGGTGGTTTCCATTCAAAAAAACAGGCCTGAAGCCAGACTGAAATGGATCCAGATAATCTGTTTCTTCCAAGAAAGCTTAGAGTTGCAACGCCACTGCCTGCTTGCCCAGGAAGGGAATAATAGTGACTTGGTGATAGTTATTCAAGTCATGTGGGTCCAGGAAAGGCTTCTTTAAGGAACAGTTTTACCATCGCCTCTTTCAAGGCAGCAGGAACCATCCCAGATCTAAAAGAAGCATTAACAATCCTCTGGCCGCAACCAGTCATCCCTTCCCACCTTGATTTAATAAACCCTGAGGGGCGGGGTCAAGTGAGCACGTGGTCAGTCACACACTTCCAAGCACTATGTCTGCATCCTCAGTCTGCAAAAGCTGAAACTGATCCAAAGTAAAACGACAAGGTGGTGCACTCAATACATTCCATACCTGCTTACATGATAGCCAGAGTCCAAGTTGGACTGGATGTGAGAGATCTTATCTGTAAACTGCTGCATAAACAAGTCACAGTGGATTGCCGAGGGCTCGTCCATCTCATCACAAGGGCCAAACTGTAAGAGGCCCCACACCACTTGAAACAATTCCACCAGATGGCACTGTGCAGATGTGATGTGGGTGGAGAAATAGCTTTTCTTCACTCTCAGTACCACTACAGAGTAGGCTCACAATTTGGCTCTAACCCACGATCGATTGGACTCCGCTCGAGTTCTCCTGTAGATGGCTGTAGATGGTGCTCTAGCCATCGTACAGACTACTTTGTCGCCTGCAACTCCCCAGAAAACTATGGAGCAAACTTGGCTTGACCAGTCCAAAGAGGGTGCTTAAGAGCGATCATGTCGACCACCTGAGTTACCTCAATGTTCCACATATCATCCAGGCATTTACAGGACCACTGGCTGTAACAGCTGCCCTTGGGGGGTCCTCAGGAAACACTCTGGATCCATCAGTCTCCTAGGGTTGGCCATCTTAATCAATCCCCACCTCTGCAGAGGGGAAGGCCAGCAAATAGTTTAAACTTGACCAGGTAGTGATCGATCCATGACAAAGGAAGCGTAACCACATCCTTTATCCTGAAATCTCTATCACCCTTAGTCCAAAAGACCAGATCAAGCATATGACCTACCACATTTGTAGGGGAAGTTATTTATTGGGATAGTCCCAAGATTGTAATGGTGGCCATGAAGTCTCAATCCCCCAAAACCAAAAGCCTCGGGATCCTCAATGAAACGTCTGAGACCAGCTTGAGCAGAGCATCTGCTGTGTAGTGAGGCGGGCAGTACAACAGCAGAACACCCAACCTATCCTGGCCACTCATCACCAGGTACAAACATTCAAATCTAGCACTTTGTAGGACCGGGGCCCTGGGTTTCCTGATAGACAATCGCCATCCTCTCCCCATCTCCGCCCCGACCATCAACCCAAGGCTGGTGCTGGATTGAGACCCTAGCCAGCCACAACTGGGAGAGGTCTGTGCCTCCCTCCACTCCCAGACAGGTCTCAGTGATACAAGCAAAGTCAGTTCCTTCATCCAGGATTAACTCCTGGGATGATAGTTGTCTTGTGAGATACCAACCTGGCATTCAGCACAGCACTGTCAGGCCTAACTGCCAGCTGTTAAGGTTCCCAGGGTCATTGAGCTGGAGGCAAGAGATGTACGAAGAATAGTCCATAATTGTTTAAACCTCGTTCATCTCAGCTGGCCCATCCTGATCCAACAGCTATATTTCCCCCTACCTGTCACAACTCCCACTATGCCATCTGAACCCTCCCCCTTAGCCACCCTGCCTGTGCCATGATACATAATACACCCCTTCCTTGACCTATAGTGTGGGCAGGTAGAGGGAAATTTCTCTCACGAAGAACCCACCTCTGCCCTCCCTGCTCTCACCAGGCACTGAGTAGGCCACCATACAGCTCCAAAAGAAATCTTGAAAGGCAATTGCTTTGACTAGAAGAGGGAAACATTTTTTTTCTGCCAGGCTGGATTGCTTACCACACTGTTGTCTGAAAGACACTTATGGGTCAGTCTGGTCCCATTGAAGTCAGTGGGAGTTTTGTCATTAACTTCAATGGGACCAGGATTTAGTCCCTGAAAAAGTAACATTTCAGAAACAATCTGCTTGGTAAAGTAGAGTCTGCAAAAATCTACCTGCTTCTGAATAGCTGAGGACACACCACCTTGAAATTAATTTTCCAGTGTGGTAGCATCCTTTATATCCACTATTACAAAACACTTTACAGAAAAACATCATTCAGCTAAGGGGGGGGGGAGGCTGTACGTGGGGATTTTAAAAGGTTTTATTGGAAGAGAGGAAGTGACTCAGAAGAAGGGTAAGAGTTCCCAGAGAGAGGAAAGTAAAAGAGTGACAGCTCCTTCCTTTCCCACCTCAAACCATAGTGAGTCAAGGGGAAGGAACCATCAATCTAGCAAATGCTGTCAGCTCAATTGTGTGCTAGAAAATAGTTGAAGCTTCTAGGTGCTAATGCGATATAAATTACTACTAATAATCATAACCTATAAAAATAACAAATCCGATGCTGCTACATCACCAACATTCATCATAAATATTGATTATATTCATGGCAGAATATAAACAGAGGTACTATCATGGTAGGAAAATATCTTGACATCAGTATATTTGACAACAACAGGTTTCGGCTTCACCTCAGTATTTATTTCCCTCTACATGCCCCCTCAACTATACTGCAGCATTTGTGCAGCAGTTGAGGATTTGCTGCTTCTGTGACAGTAATCGATTCCATTGGTATTAGTTTTTCATCATGTAACAAAATCAGCATTTCCCACAGACTTCTGATTTTTACAGGGAAAATAAAGGTTAGACATGTTTTTTCTCTTGAAATAAATCATCCCTCAGAGAGCTTTTGTTTCTCACTGTGCAGCTTGCCAATGGCTGGCATGCCCTTTTCTCGCACTGTCTGTGAGTTAATCAGTTTTTGATGTATACAGCACGTCTGACAGACTACATTTGGGTCAGTTTGGGTGAGTTCATCCAGTGTTTCCTGAACACATCATCAGTAAGTGACTTGACACTGCTGTGAACTGACTTTAGTGCTCATTAGGTAACATCCTGAAGAATTATGGTCGATGATAATCACCGTGCAGACTGTGCACAGCCATTCAATCCAGCCCTCAGCTTGTTGACAAAAACATCAGGTGCTCTAATTTACTGTTTAAATATTATGAAGTGGTGGTTTGACCAGCTCATAGTCAGCAGGTCTTCTCTCTCTCTCTCTCTCTCGCACACACACACACACACACACACACACACACACACACACACACACACACAGTCTCACAATTGTTCTAACTGGCAACCTTATACATGACAATCTCAACAGAAACATGTGTAGAATTAGCACAGAGATTGACCCATCTTCTCAACTTTCTCTGGGACAGAGGCGAGGCACATTGGTAGGGAAATGTGGAAAACATTCACTGCTGTTAAGCATGCAACACCTGATCTGTGGATTTGTCTTCTGTCCAATAAATGTGAACCTTGGATCAAGTGCTAAGGGGATCTAAGGTAGTCTAGGCTTGGATGCCACCTTCCTCCAAACCTCTCAACATGTAAATTAAATACGTTTAACCTGGCTTGATCACAGTGAGGTTCCCCCAGATTTGCAATTACTTAGGGTACATCTACACAGCATGGCTTAACTCGAAATTAGCTATGCAAGTTGAGCTACATCAATTGCATAGCTTATTTCAAAATAGCTTATTTTGAAATTGCGAGCGTCTACATAGCACTTATTTTGAAATAGGACACTCTTCCACTGACTTCCCTTACTCCTCTTACAATGAAGGTTACAGGAGTTGGAGTAAGAAATCCTCCAGCTTGACAGTATTTCAACATTATTTTGAAATAACTGCTTGCTGTATAGATGCAGACTAAGTTATTTGGAAATAATGTTAGTTATTTGGAAATAATCTTCCTATGTAGACATACCTTTACGGGTATGGATCTTACATTCCAATCCCATTACACCTCATCTCTTAATTTGGCCATCAATTCTAAGATAAATTAAATCAGTTCACTTCTCCTCTCTTCTGAGGTGCAGAGTATACTACAGCAGGGAAAGCAACTAACAAGAAAGTATGTAAATTAAACCAGG